AGTTCCAGTGTTATGCGCAAATAATTGTTCATTTACATGCCTAGTATTTTCTTGTTTCAGTGTATCCGATGCCATGAGGCAACAGATCAGAGGTGAATTTTTTTGTGTTAGATTTTCTGTGTTTTTTAGCCAGTGAGAACTGTTTAATCATATGGGATTCAACAGTTCTCAGCGGCATAAAAATAAACAGGAATAGATATGTGTATATCATGGGCATCGATAACAGTGAACAAGAAAAGTACTAGCGCACTCGCGTAAATGAACATTTATTTGCGCATAACACTGGAACTGAACAAGCATAAGAAAGGATTATGGTTAAACAGCGGTACACTTCAGAACGAGGGGGATCAAGGCCAGCTGCGGTTGTATTATTCACCTGAAAAATAATAAGTTTTTTCTACTTTTTTCCCTTTTTTCATATTTTTCTTTTTAATAATCTATCTACGGTTATTATTCTTTTATTTGATATGGATACATACACACGCGCGTGCACACACATCACGTTTTCATACATATCCTCTAAAACAAATACATACTGTATCGTTTCATTATGTTTTTGTGTATGCAAATCGAAGTGATACTATTCCCATTAACAAGAATAGTGATAATGGTGACGTTAAGAAAATAGTAATTGATGATAATAATAATAACGATGGCAATAGTGATAATGATAATAATACCCTGTTTATCACAAGTTGCTTTGTTGTAGTTTTTCACTATAAATTCTATCCTCTGTACCCTATTTGTCCCTTGCTAATTATATATGTTTTTTTAATTGTTGATCTCTCGGTGTGTAGTTCATATCAACGTGCAAATTTAATCTCAACTCTGAATATATAGTACAATAGCTCGCTAAGTCTATATAGAAGGTATGTACAAGTGCTAGGACACAATTTTCCTGTTAAATAAATCTGTTCATATCATTGTTCATTTGCCCAATTTTGCTCAGGGACCCACGAAGGCTTGGGACAATCCTGAAGCAGAGAAGCAAGTGCTAGTATCTCGTCTTTTATTTAGATATTTATTCGTTTGTTTCAAAGTTCTGTTCTGAATGAAGAAATTTACGTTTTTTCCCCTCCCGTNAGTCAAGATCCCTATAAGCGTCATTCATTTATCGTCCCGGCTCCCTCCATCCTTCCCTCCACCCTCCATCCTTCCCTCCCACGCCCCCCTTCCCCCACTCCCTCCCCGCCTTTCTGTCTCCCTCCCTCCCTCCTCCCCCTCCCCCCCCGGCCCTTCTCCCCTCCCCTCCTCCCCTCCCCTCTCCTCCCTCCCCTCTCCTCCCCCCTTTCCTCCCCCATCCCTCCCTCCCCCTCCCCGTCCCTTCCCCCGTCCCTCCCTCCCCCCACTCCCCACCTCCCCTCCCTACCCCTCCCCACACCCCATCCCCCCACGCCCCACCCTCTTCCCCTAGACCTTTTTTAGGCCTAAAACTCTGATCACAATTACGTACTAAATTGACGGATTCCAGCAAGATTCTGGATCTGACTCGTGTTTATTGCCGTCAGTCCCGAACCCTATGTCTATTGGACGTGCATTTGGATGCTTGGTTCATGGTCCTTTTTCTCTATTTTTAAGAGTGTTTCTGTTGCTGTTGTTGTTTTAGTTATAGTTGGTATAGTTATTATATTGTTATAGGTTATTTTTTAGTATATAGGTTATGGTTATTTTTATAGTTATGTTGTTATAGTTATAGTATATGTTATTTTATAGTTATAGTTTATGGTTATGTTTATTATTATAGTTATAGTTGGTATGGTTAGTTGTTATTTTATAGTTAGTTTTTATGGTTATTTTATATAGTTATAGTTATTATATAGCTTTTATAGATATTGTGCATACAGGCACGCATGTACAATTACATATACATGCAGACACACCACACACACACACACACACACACACACACACACACACACACACACACACACACACACACACACACACACACACACACACACACACACACCCTTCCCCCCCCTTCCCCCCACTTCATCCATCCAATCCCTTCGTTCCTTGATGGCACTCTCCGTGGCACCGGTTGCATAATGGCATTATTGGATTCATAATCACCTGATGATGATTGGCGCTGAACATTTCAACTCGAATTAGACCCCACTTGACGGATGCTGAAGCGTGGCCAATGGGGGGGGGGGTCCTGTTCATTGCAACAGCTCGTGTTCCAGCGGCTGGGTGGGTGTCTTGCTTGTGTTGTTGGGCTCTCGTTCGTTTTCGGTTTGAGGGGGTTGTTATTGTTGTCGGTATTATCGTCATCGTATCGTTATCTTCCTCTTCTTCTCTTCTGCTTCTTCTCTTCCTCCCCCTCCTCCTCCTCTTCCTCCTTCTTTTCTTTCCTTCTCCTCCTCTTTTTCTTCTCCTTCCTCTTCCTTCCTCCTCCTTCCTTCTCTTCCTTCCTCCTCCTCCTTCCTCTTCTTCCTTCCTCCTCCTCCATCATCATCATCATCATCATCATCATCATTGTTATTTTTTTATCACCATCACATCGTCGTCATCGCCTTCCTTGTCATCACTACCATTATCATCATCATCATCAATCACCAACGTCATCATATTGTCTCCGTTATTGCCAGCCTTGTTATTGTTAACATGATTGTCCTCTTCGTTAGCCTCAATAATCCTTCCTTTCCCCCCAGATTGCTAACATCATTTTCTTTATCCTCTGTTCTTATCACCATCTTCGTAATAATCAGTTACCGTTATCGTCATCACCTTCATTATTATCATTGCCGTCGATTTCTCTGTTTTTGCGCGTGTGTTCGTTTTGTACACTTTTTGCTGAGTCATCACCATCATCACAATTCTCTACCATTCGTGATAGGATTCTGTAGCATTAATATTCATAGTCATGTTCCTCTGTCTGTCATTCCTGTCATATTCGCCACCGCTGCCACCATTTTTTCACATTTTCTGTGTACCTTACATTCGGGTAATTATTTTCTCTCCCTTACCCTTTCCTTTCGCTAATATCCCTCGTCATAAATTATCATATAATTAGTCCTTTGTTTCCCTAATCATCGCAGTAATTAATTTTGATCAGGTAGGGGAGGCACTGTCCTTTCTTCTTTTTTCTTGTCTGTTTTTTTGTTATTTTTTATTTTTTTATCGTGTGATTAATTTCTATTGTTTTCTTTCTTCATTTTTTGGGAATTTATTTTGTTTCGTTTTTTTGTCTCTTTTTTGTTTATTTTTATCGTGGGATTTATTTCTATTGTTTTTTTTCCTTATTTGGGGGAATATATTTATTTTTTTATCGTTTTGTTTCTTTTTGTTTTTTTTATCGTATGATTTATTTCTATTTTTTTTCTTCATCTTTTTAAGAATCTATTTTGTTTCGTTTTTTTTTGTCTCTTTTTTGTTATTTTTATTACCGTATGATTTATTTCTATTGTTTTTTTCTTTATTTTTTAAATTTTATTTTAGGAATTTATTTTGTTTGTTTGTCTCTTTTCTGTTTTTTTTTTATCGTATGATGGATTTCTATTGTTTTTTTTTTCTTTTATTTATTTTATAGGAATTTATTTTGTTTCGTAATTCGCTTATCCTTTCATTTATATTTCGGATTAAGATTATCGCTCGAGTTTTTAATCCGTTTCAACATATTTCCAGGTCAAATGATTCTTAATATCAATCATAATTGTGTGTCTGATTAACAGCGATTATCTTTTTTTTATATATATATTTTTTCCTGGTCTTGAATTTCTTTTTATTATTGCCGTCTACATTTCCTCTTTTCTTTCTCTTTTTGCTCCTCTTTTTTTTGCATTCTTTACCTTTCTCCTCCATCTCTTTTTACCTCCCTCATACTCTTTAATTTCCATCTCTTTTTCCTCCTCCCGCTTCTTCTTCTTCTTTCCTCCTTCCTCCTCTCCTCCTCCATTCCTCCCTCTCTCTTTTTCTTCCTCCTCCTCCTTCTCTTCTTCCTCTACTCCTTCTCCTCCCCTCCTCTCTCTTTCCTGCTCCCTCTCCTCTCCTTCTTCTCCTTCACCCCACCTCCTCCTCCCCTCCTCCTCCTCCTCCTTCATTCTCTTTCACCTCCTCCTCCTTCTTCTCCCCTCCACCTCCTCCTTCATCTCTTTCAACCTCTCCCTCCACCTCCTTCTCCTCTCTTCACCTCCACCTCCTCCTTCCTCTTTTCACCTCCACCTCCTCCTCCTCCTCCTCTTCATCTCTTTCACCTCCTCCACCTCCTCCTCCTCTCCTTCATCTCTTTCACCACCTCCTCCTCCTCCTCTCCTCCTTCTCTCTTTCACCCCCACTCCTCCTCCTTCACCTTCCTCCTCCTCCACCTCCTCCTTCATCTCCTCCACCTCCACCCCCACCTCCTCCTCCTCCTCCTTCCCTCTTCACCTCCTCCTTCATCTCTCCACCCCCACCTCCTCCTTCATCTCCTCCACCCCCACCTCCTCCTCCACCTCCCTTCACCTCCACCTCCCTCCACCTCCTGTCTCCTTCGCGACATCTCCCAAGACCCGAAGACCCTCACGCGGAGAGAGACGGATGGCCTCTCAGCCCACCGACCACGGGGTCTCGGAAAGCGCTTGTCCACTTCATTTATCTTGCTTTCTCCTGTGTTTGCTTTTCATTCCCCCCTCCCCCCCCCCTTTGCTCTGATTTAGTTTTTCTAAGAGGAGGAGAAAGTGGAGTGATTTTTTTTCTCTTCTTTCTTTCTTTGTTCTGTGGTTTCTTTTCTTTGTTAGTCTGTTTCTTTCTTTTTCTCTCTGTTTATTTCTCTGCCTGTCTGTCTCTCCTTTCTTTATTTTTTTTTTATTTCTCTACTTCTTTCTCTCTCTGTCTGTCTCTCTCTCTCTCTCTCTCTCTCTCTCTCTCTCACTCTCTCACACACACACACACACACACACACACACACACACACACACACACACACACACACACACACACACACACTTACCCTTTACGAGCACACACATCCCGATCCTGGCCATCCTTATCCATCTTAGCGGAGGATAATTGCGGAATAA